GAAAAGGGACTCAATCCACCACTCTGGACTCTATACTATAGGCATATTGAAGGAATGGAATGGAGACAGAGGGAGTGCAAATCAAACTAGGAATGGGAGAATATTTTGGAAAGCCAGGGCAGAACAGTGTCACTACTGCCCCATTTGGTTCACTAAAGATCATTAAATAATTGGGATGGGATGGGGAAATTTCTTTTCTCCTAGTTCTTTCAGTTGTGAAATCAGAAAACATTGTCCAAGTATACTTTTTTCTGACTTACATGCATCGTTTATCTACCAAAGAAATGTATTTGAAAAATCCTACTAAATGTACAATACTGACCTCACTTTTCGACAAAGGAATCAGAGATCATATACGTGGAGAGAAAACAGAAGGTTTGACAAATTTCACTATTAAGATTTGATGTGATGGAGTCTGAAGGGTGACATGCTTTTGCTAGATAGGATGTATATGTGCATGCATGTGTGAATACTTTCTAATCAAAAAGTAGTGTATAAAGAGCTTGGTAGCAAAAGCACCAAAAAGTCTACTGGTTGTTTCCAAGCAAGGCTATTTGTGAGTATTATTATAGTCTGTAGTCTATCTTTTTATTGCAGACTGTGCAACTTTGAGCAAATCATATGTCTATCTGGTCCTTAGATTCCTTAGAAACTAGGTCAGACTGTTGTCTTCCTGTTTATTTAGAGTTATAGGACAGGTGGTAAAAGACTACTGTCAGTTTTTAAGGCAAAAGACACTATCCAGCCTCTATATACTCATGTGGTTTACTAAAAGTCACTAATACACTTATTCATCATTTGAAACTTCTCCAAAGTAAAAATTAATAAAAGTATAGGAAGAGTTCCATGACAAGCATCACATGGTTGTAATGCCAAGTAAACTTGGCTCCAGTGTAATGAAAATATTGAACAGTCACAAAGCAAACACTTTGCTAGAACAGGTTTGTAAGTGAAAAAATGGAAGATATATTTTGACTTAGAATAAATTAAAGTTGAAATTTCATGGAAGCATCCTAAATAGAGAGGAAAATTCTGTCACATTGTTAAGGTAACAAAACCAAGGTCAAAGACTAAATGGGATTTGTAAAATCAGAATGTTTTTGTATGTGTTGATGGGGGAGGGGCTGGATTCCGCTCCCAGAACCAGTAATCATTGATTTCTGTCATTATGGAATCTGCTTCCTATAAATTTTGAGGGTTAATTTCTTTTCTGCAAATTAAGAACACCTTAAGATGATTTATCATGATACTTTGTGAGACAGTGCTATAGATTTTCCCATATATAGTTTGTATAAAGTAATTCTAACACTAACACATATAAAATGGTTTCATAAATACAACTTCCAAATATAGTGAACAATGTGAACATGTTTGCAGTTTGACCTCAGGATAAAGGAATTAAAATAATTTATGTTTATTCCATAAGTGAGTGAAGAAAGAGGGTCTTAGTTTCATGCTTCTTTTAGTACAACTCTGAGACAGCTCTGAGATGGTTCACTAACAGGCCAATCACTGCATTTGATTCAGATGCCTGTTCTGGAAAGAATCTAGCTTCTTTTGTCAAAACTCAAAAATGTGCCACACGTGTTTTTAACACTCAGATATGTAACTGGATTTTCTCTTTCTTCCTTCAACTAACATTTTGATGCTGTAAAACATACTTAGGAAGAAAAGAATTTTTTCTTTATCTTTGAGGAGTCTTGGCTTTTACTTCTATTTAAGACACACTTCATTTTCTTCCTACAGCCTGTCATTTGGTTTTTGTGAGAAAGACATATTCCCCATATTGATTATCAAAGGTAAAATGTCCACATGCCTATGAAACTTAAGAAGTTAACCATTCTGAATACAATGGAAGAGTTCTAGTCAATCCAAATATTTTGCCTACCAAAAATAAGATTTTTGGTATTTAATGTTACTAGGAAGTAGGGAAACCAGAAACATAAGGAACTTTTTTTGACATCAGTGTTGAAATGGAGCCACTGACTTTTGCTGACATGAAGTCAACGTTAGGCACACTTTATAATTATGTTTATTTTTGCCCAAGCAGCCAGAAAAATTCATGATGAAATTTAAGAATAATTATTCCTTAAATTTATGTGGAATTTATGTTATCTGGCAGTATATCAACTCATTTTGTACTCATAATAATCTTATGACTTATAAAATTATTACTACCATTTTAAAAAGAAGACTAAAAAAAAAATGAAGGTTACAAAACTTCAAGTCAAGGTAAGTGGCAGAGCTGAAATTTGAACCCAATTTGTTCTTCCCATGGTTAGTAGAAGAACAGAGGTAAAATTTACCACCCTTTTTAATTGTTTTGGCCGAAGCCAGTTTGTTATTTTCCTTCATGCCTACTAGCAGTCTAATTGTTATGGAAACTAGCAAACATGCTAAATGTAAAAGATGACTTGTTTCATTCTCCCAAGTCCACTTCTTGATGGGGGTGACTACTGATGGCTCCTGTAGCAGTTCAGAGGTATAGAGATAGGGATGGTAAAGAATGCCGAATACCCAAGATGGTGTGGAATTGAGATCCAAAGAGAAGTCACAAGGCTTTCCTCTCTTACACATTTCTCCTCTTCCCTCTTTCTCATCTCTCTATACGTGTAGTTATGGCTCAGAGTAATAATGAAGATGAGAGGAAGAGGAGAAGGAAAAAACATGGGAATCCAGATGAGAAAAAAAGAGAATAAATGAGTGAACAGTAACAGTGAAAACATTTGGAAAAGCAATTCTGGAAATTTTAAAGAAGCACCAGTTTAACCTACACCAACCTTCCTGTGGATGAAAATTACTCCTGTTGACTTAGTTCCATTGATCTACAGCTACTAAAGTCAAAAGCAACTTTCTTTTTATAGCTGGGATGAAATAATAAAGGGAAAAAAATCTAAAACCCAGGATTAGAATCAAAATTGTTTTTATATCCTTCTTCACCAGCTCTGTATCTGTGCATTTCGCCCATCACTTGAATGACCTGATCCACAGTGACTCTGCATTCCTATCTCCCTCAAAGGTTTGCTCCAAGTAACATGTGAATTAATGGATGCAAAAGTGCCCTGAAAACTTTAAAATGATACACGAATATTATTATAATTACATAGGGAGCATTAGGTTTCCCAAGCCCATTCAATCCTTTTTGGCCTCAGAGTGCACCTGCCTCTGAAAGATCTGTGTTACTTTAAAAGAAAGTTAATTAGGTCCTTCCATGTCCCTCTGGATATCTGCCCGAGTCAGAAGTGCAGCTCAGCATAGAAGCTCCATTATCCATATTAAAAGTAGGATTTTCTGACTTGGCCTGGGCAGCCAGTTGACCAATAGGTTCCAATGTGTGTTTTCAATAAAGCTGCTTATCCAGGAAGCCTTATTAAGTGAGTAAGTCAAGCTGACATGATTTCTGTGCTGATTAACATGAAACCTAGGCTGTTTTCACAACGCAGTAACATTAATTATTTATAGGAGGTAAATGAGGTTACAAGGAAAACAAGCTCCAATTACCAGAAACAAATCAAATGTATTTATATTTCTAAAAACTATGTACTAATCCCTGCATTCATTTATTTGAGGTGCAAGCTTTAAGGATCAAAAAACATTTATTATCTCCTCCTTTTTCTCATAATCAAAAGCAACAGAGGGTTTAATGTTTTAAAGACTACCTGGTAAACTGGGATGCCCTGATAGAGCTTATCAGTTATTTTTATTAGTAAACTATATACCTAAAAATTGCTCGACAAATTTCAAAACAATTCAAAGTATTCTAGATATAAAAGCAAAATGTTTACTAAACTACTCAGTTTTGCCTGTTTTATTAATAATAAAAATTTCATAGAAGATCCTGATTAAACAGCACTGTATCTATTTGGCAGACAAAATAGACTATCTCAGAAATCATCCTTTCTTGTATTTGCAGTCAGCATATTCTTTTAGCTTAACATTTTTTCCAGATTTTTTTTTATTTTAACAAAGTATTTTTGTAATATTTTCAGTGAAATAGTCTTGGATGGGTTTGTTGGAGTGCTTCCTTATTTTTCTGGCTGTCTTTCTTGGTTGTGCCTGATGGTGTGAGTTGAATGGGCAATGGAGAGAGTTCTCACTTTGACATATGGGCAAACTTGATAGATGACCAGTGATAACACCCCTTACTTTTCATGATTCTTTCAAGACACCATTCCACTGACACCTCTAGCACTTCTAATGCTAGACAGCACTTATTTCAAAACAAAATTCTCTTCCAAAAGTGGTGAGACAAATATTTGATAGTCATATGGCCTACCAGCTAGTTGCAATATGCACATTTCCTAGGGAATGCTTGAAGCCACCAGTTGGCAGTGCCAGTGGGAAATATGAAATATTGTAAGTTAGATGTTTTCGAAATGACTCTAAATAGAGGTTGAACAGTCCTTTGTAGAACGCATAAAAGTAGTCTGAAAAATCTTGCTACAGTTTTTCATTTATCTGATGATATAATTGTACAACAGTTTACTGAATAAACTGTTTAATGTGCATTTTTTTGTTTTGTAATATTTCTAATATATGTATTGTATAATTATAATTATTTTTAAGAACATCTTTCACTTTCTGGAATTTCTCTATTGTTGGTGATTTATTAAGTTGTCCCATCTTATCTATTTCCTTTATTTCATATTTCTAGGGAGAAAAAAAATTAAATGTTTGGATTTTTATCCATGAATGTTTATGCAAAATATCCATGAAATAAAGAACCTGAGACTAAAATAAGTTAGACAATAGGATGGCAATGAATATCAAGACGATTTTTGTTTTCTATACATGATTTTCTTACAATGCAGTGAAATTAGTTGAATATACTGGGCATTTTTTGAACCTTGAGTTAATCACTTAAAATGGAAGGCATAGACAAGATAACTATGAATGAATACTAATATAAAGTTTGTGCTTTATATACAATATGAAAGAAGATTCAGGATCAAATCAAGCCAGGTATTTTCAGGAATTAACTTTTTGTTTTTCTTTTCCAGAAACTGGAAATGGCAAAAACTTACATGAAAACCAAGGAAATTGTGGAGCTGGCCAACACACAGTCCTTCATGGACAAGGGTCTGAGCTCTCAAAATGAGATGAAGGGAGAGGAAAGAAGACCAGGTGCTTATGGGTTGCTTGGAAGCATGACTGAAGAGCATGACAGTATTGAAGAGGAAGAAGAAGAGGAAGAAGATGGGGAAAAACCTAAGAGAAGAGGTCCCAAGAAAAAGAAGATGACTAAAGCTCGGCTTGAGAGATTCAGGGCTCGAAGAGTCAAGGCCAATGCTAGAGAACGGACCCGGATGCATGGCCTGAATGATGCCCTAGACAACCTCAGGAGAGTCATGCCATGTTACTCTAAAACTCAGAAGCTTTCCAAGATTGAGACTCTGAGACTGGCTAGGAACTACATTTGGGCTTTGTCTGAAGTCCTAGAGAGTGGCCAGACACCTGAAGGGAAGGGTTTTGTGGAGATGCTCTGTAAAGGGCTCTCTCAGCCTACAAGCAATCTAGTGGCTGGATGCCTCCAGCTGGGCCCACAGTCTATTCTCCTGGAGAAGCATGAGGACAAATCTCAGATTTGTGACTCTACTATCTCTGTACACAACTTCAATTATCAGTCTCCAGGGCTCCCCAGCCCTCCTTATGGTCATATGGAAACACACCTTCTTCATCTCAAACCTCAAGTATTCAAGAGTTTGGGAGAGTCATCATTTGGGAATCATCCCCCTGACTGCAGTACACCCCCTTATGAGGGCCCACTCACTCCACCTCTGAGCATCAGTGGGAACTTCTCCCTGAAGCAAGATGGCTCTCCTGACCTGGAAAAATCTTACAGCTTTATGTCACATTATCCTTCTGCAAGCCTAAGCTCGGGGCATGTGCATTCAACTCCTTTTCAGGCTGGTACCTCCCGCTATGATATCCCCATAGATATGTCCTTTGATTCCTATCCTCATCATGGTATTGGATCCCAACTCAATACAATTTTCACTGATTAGGCAGTAACATCTGCATTTCAGAGAATGATGTGGAGATATTTCCCATAATCCAAATGATTGAGCTGAAGATTCAGACTTTAAACAAATGCTATGGATATATATCAAACAATAATCTGAGTCCATTTAGGACCTCTAACATCTGTCCTCATCTTTTGTCATTGATTTCTCACATTGTATTGATTCCTTTAGAGTCCATGAGTGAAATTGTTTGATGACTTAAAGCTATGTGATAACAGAAAACCTAGGCCCTATTACGGTGGTGCCAAAAACTCAGTGAGTAATTTCTGCCAACTAATTTTCCTTTTACTGGTGATATGAAGAAGTTGTTCTAAGTTTGGATAATTTTTACAGACATCCTTGGTTCTGGAGTGCCACAACTTTGCTGAAAACTCTTATAAATTTCTCAAAACTGAAAAAAAAGCAATACTAGGAAATGAACAGTATGCATAGAATGATCAAATGGAGCACAAAGACACATCTGTTGGTGTACAGAATGCAAAGTTCATTTGAACTTAGTGACAAGACTTCTTGTATTTATCTAAGAACAGCTTCTAGAAGTTAAAATTCTAACTTGACTGTCACTGTGAATAGATTAGTTCTACTTCTCATTGGACTAGAAATTGAAAATATCTGTGTTAGCAATTTGAAAACCACAAGAGAACATTATGCCTACTTTATTCTTACAGCATTTCAAAAGCACTTTCTTTGTACTGGAGGTAGGGCAACAAAATCATTGAAATTTCAGACTTTTATGACCAATGGAACATGGAGAAGCCATTTGGATCATTTCATGGTCTCGGAAGCCAGAAACTTCTGGAAATTCTGACAGTGCTCAGGTGCTGCAATTGGAATCACACAACCCAAGTTTACATTATAGGGCAATAAAATGGTGGTTGGCTACAGTAACTACCAGTTCAGGGACTCTATCGAGCTCATACTTGTGTGTAAGAAAACCACTGGCAAGATGCATTTCATTTGGCTAAAGATTATTAAAACTAACCACTTCTGTTCACATTAAATCATATTTTTCAGAAACATAGCACTCATCAATTTATCAGTTAAACTTGAATTTTTCTGACATATATGCAATTCCTTACCTCTCTCACCACTAATTGTTACCTCTTTCTCATTCCTAGGACACAATGTTATTTCATTTTGTAGATAACATTCCAAGTGGTGAAACTTGAGGGTTCAGAAACAAAGTCTAAGGTCAGTCAATGCTTTAGCAATTTCTGTCTTCACCACAAGTTTAGCCCAATCTGCTGGAAGAGTATTGTTCGTTATGCAGTTTCTCTTTTCTTCACATTAACACTACTTTGTTGAATTTATCTTTCATCCAGAAAATAAAATCTAAGAAATTTTAGTCCTGTTCAGTCAACCAGGACAATTAATTTAGGTTCAAACCAAGAACACCATAAATGACTTATTTAGTAGTAGATCAGGTCCTGCTCCTTCAGAGAAAGTACATTTAGTAATGCAGATACACCAATAGGACCAATGAATAAAACTGATAAGACAGATTAGTATGTCATTTTCTATGTCTTAGTTACCTCCTAAAATCTGCGAAACAGTATGTATATCTTATTTTTTAACTCCTCTTATTTATTTCCCATAGAAGATAGTATCTTGTTTTAAAGCACTTACTCTGTTGTATTGTGCATCCTTGGTTTGTAAACCCATTTGAAGGTAGTTTTTGTAGAGAGATCATAAAACTCCATCAGCCACCAGAGTGATTCCCCTCATCATGATCTGCCCTAGTAGGAATAGGCAAGTAAGATGATTTATAAAACCATCCTATCTGGTTTTTCAACATTTGCTGGTACTTATTTTATGGGGGGGAGATATGAGAGATTTTTATCCTTAAAGCTAGCATTTTCTAGCATTTGTTGTCTGAGTTATTTATTAGATACTACATGCTGTCTGAATTATTTATTAGATACTATTTATTTAATTTATTTCTCCTCTCCTTTTATTCAAATTCTTTGGATTCCATAGACATGCTTACAACCCAGCACTCCCGAAAGTTTCATTTAGAGAAACACTCATAATTTTGCTGGGCAGTACTGAGTTTTGGAGTGGAGGAAATAAAGGAATTTGGTTCACAATTGCTTGTAATTATTTGAATGTCTTTTAAATTATTTAAATTCAACTAATGATTTTAGATGTTTTCCCTTCACTCTAAGATGAAATGGAAGGTTTATTTTGTTTGGAAACACTGTTTATGCCTTTGGAGAGTATATAGTATCCATGAACCAGATCTCCCTGGAATTGTGCAGAAGAATTTTTAATTGAATTAAAATTTAGTAATGCAGTATGCCGGGGAAGATTCTGCTCTTCAAACTGGAGTAGTTTCATTGTTCTGTGGACTTTTTCAGATAAAATGAAGCAGGTGTTTAAATCTTTTGTTTAAAAAAATGACTGGTTTTCCTCCCTTTTTTCTAGCAGAAATAAAGCTGTGAGTTTTATTAGACATTGTGTTGTGTTGTTGGTCTTCAAAACCCTCTTAACTCTCTTCTATTCATTTTCTTGGGCCCCCTGATCTGCAAGTAACAGAACACAGTTACAGCCTTTCCAGAAGATTTACACGTTCCAGTTTCAGCTGATGTTCAAAAGGTCTAAGCAGTTAAAAATCTGGAAGCACAAAACTATGCCTCTCATACAACAGACTGTAGAATCTGTAGCCAAGAACAACAAAAATTTAAAAAAATAAGGCTTATGATAGTAATCTGTAGGGATAGGGGTAGTCTAAATTATTGCATCATACTTGGAAAGAAGGCATATTATCTACAATCTAAGTGAGTCTATCAGCTTTTCAAAAAAATTATGAAGTATGTTTTTTGTCAACTGCTTTTTAGCATCTCTTTTCTTAAATTTTTGTAGTTTGTTTTCTAGTTAAAACATTTCAGATTCCTTTCTTGTAAAATAAAATAAAATATAAATTAAAAAATAATGACAGTAATAATAAAAGTAAACAAACAAAGTTGGTTAATCAAGGGGGGACTTGGCTTAAAATTTTTAAGAAACAAAAAATATTGAAAGCCATCTTCTCACACCTATCTTCCATCTGGTAGTTCATGCTCTGCAGTTTGAAACTACTTTAGGAAAACATTTAAATTTTTAGTTATCAGAGATATGTTATGCATACATGAATCAGTATTAGGTATATTAGGTGCAAATAATAGGGTGTACTATGCTTTCATTTTGCTATAGATAAGGGTGTAATAATGCAGTTCTACATATTCCTTTTTAAAATATTTAAGCACACATCTTGGCATATTTTCACATTTAATAAAGTTTCTTAAATCTATATTACAATTGGTTAGCTTTCTACATTAAATACTATAATTTACGAGATTGAATGATGCAAATTATGTTTTTCCAAACTTTTCTAATCCTGAATGATTACATATACATAAACGGAAACTTATTAAGAGTTTACTTTGCAAAGAATGTCTCAAAGAGTCAAAAGATAAACAGATAAGAGGTATCCCATCTCTTAGTTATTGGATGCTTTCTATGTGATTCATGTGTGTTATACTGTTCAGCCCTGAAGTCACTCTTCTGAGGCAGTCACTGTTATTCCCATTTTGTAGAGTAGGAAACTACGAGAGAGTAATATGTTTAAACTCTCAGTGAAGGATGGAGCCAGAATTTGAACTAGTTGGTTTACCCAAAGTGTGTGAATAATTTTTCAGTGCTTATCTGTTTCGTAAGCATGTGAGAATGTCACACCTACTTGGTGCTGCAGCTGGTAAAGGTACAGTGAAACTGAGAGGAGACTCACTTTCTTTTTCCTTTGTTTTTTTTTTTTTGCTCTGTAATCAAGGCTGTCCCTGAGTTCACTGTGTAGCCTAGGCTGGCCTTGAACTCACAGCAATCCTCCTGTCTCAGTCTCCCAAGTGCTGGGATTACTGGTGCATGCCTCCATGCCCAGCAAGATCTATTTTCTTTTGACAAACCTTGACTTTTTATTAGAACTTGCCTATGCAGACTGTATAAATGTATAGCATATCCTAGATCAATACCTTGTTGCTCAACAGAGTCCATCTTTCAGAGGATATAAATCCATTTCATGATTTTATCCCTAGAGTTTAAGAAAAATGTTTCAGTAGAGAATTATATATACTAAAAAATCTACCAATGTACAACCATACTAATTTCAAGTTTAGTTTCTTTAGTCTATATAACTTTGGAGGTTATTTTGGTGTAGTAATTACACTATCAACTTAGATATATGATTTACTGGTTGAATCAGTTTTCTTGAACTGATTAACTTGCAAAGTCTCAATTTCCTCAAATTTAAAATAATGGTAATAGAAACACCTTCTTTATAGGATTAATGAATTGAGATAATACACCCAGTGTACTTAGCAATGTTTGGTAATAAGTACTTCTTATTACCATGTATGTTACTATTGATTATTTTCTGTTGTATTCATCTTAACTTTTCTCCTTGCCTCCAATATATGAGTGGGGGCTTAGAGAGTTCATAGAATTTCAGTTATTATGGCGAGTCAGATAGGTTTCGAATTTGAAGCTAACTAGCTCTGTAGCCCTAGATAAGTTGTTTAACCTATTTCAACTTCATTCTTTGTAAAAAAGATATGCAATACTACCAAAGCTATGGAGCTGATATGATAATTAAAAATGATAATGTCAGCAAAGTGTTTCAGTCAGTTTCTGGGAAAAGAGAAGCACTTTATTATCCTTATTTTATTGCAATTAGAAGTCAAGTGAGAGCAGATGAAGTAATTGAGAACCAGAGGACAGCAGATTCTTTGACTTTACACATTAAATTGTTGATTAAGCCCAACGTCAAAATTAAGCCTTTTGCCAGAACTGCATACATTGATATATGCTATTTTCCAACTCACCATATTCCTTTAGTTAGAAATTTTCAACAGCAAATTACTAATTTTTGGAAATAAGAATACTGAATATTTCTTTCTTTTGTAGAAATTGGTAGAGTTAAGAGAAGCTTTGTGGTGATTTTTTTTGCTGTCATTTAAGCTATGACTAAGTAGAAAAAGAATAGTATTATCTCACAAATACATAATACCTGCTTTTGATTCAATTTTATAATTAGCTATTGAACATTTCCTCGGTGCTAAGCACTCAGATAAGTGCAGGGAATAAAAAATATGTGAATGGGCATTACAGTCTAACATGATTATAAGTGAATATAGCACATTTACACATCTATTGCTCAGTATTGGCAGCAATATTGAATATTACACATCTTATTTGATGAGGGAGAAAACAAAAACTCAGGATTTACTGATTTTTATGTCAAGCTATTAGCTTGGAAAGAAGTTATAGATTATATGATTCTAATTTTATTTTGTATGCTTATTTGTTTTTTGTACGTGAATTCCTATTCTGTGTTTAAGTTAAACACATTTTATGAAACTAGATTAATAAATTATTATGAAAATTTTGGATTCTTACAGGTGGTATAATTTTAGTTAATTACTGTAAATTGATTAAGCTACGGGGCTGGGGATTTAGCTCAGCTGCATAAGTGTCTGCCTACCAGCAGGCAGTCGTAAGTTCGATCCCTGGTACCGAGAAAAAAGAAAAAGACAAAAAAAATTGATTAAGTTACTAAATGTGAACTGAAGAAAAGTTTGGAAAACAATGTCTCATTCTTCTTACGCTGACCTTTCTCTCTGCTTTCTGCTTCATGCCGTGGCTGTCTCTCCTCTGCCAAGCATCTCTGCTATGCCACCCTGTCTTGGAGCCATCCAACCATAAACTGAAACCTCTATAAACTAAACCAAAATAAACCTATTTTTTAAAAAAGTTGCTTAAGGAAAGGAAGAGGAAACTGCAATTGATTTGGCATCTTGTTATGCATAAGCCATCAAATTAAATTCCTTATATTGAGTTGATCTTCAAACAAGCCATTGAAGTAGATTCCCGATACCATAAAAATCTAGGTAGAAATATGTAAATAAATACAGAAACATGAGAAATCATGCAAATCTCTGAGATTCTACTTTCTCATCTATATAGTAAGATTCTTGTGCCATTAGATAGCTAATTTTTTTCTCATTTTAATATTTTCATAGTTTCCTAAGCAGCTAATGTTCATTTTCTCTCTGACAGAATAGCAAATACATATACTTTGCAAAAATGAGTGAGTGAATGAACAAAAGATGGTAAGACGGTATGAAGTATAAAATAGACTTCACAATATTTAAACTGAGGTGGCGTTTGGGTGCCTTCTGTGGTTTTCCAATTGCTTATCAACTATCTTAGCTTCTCTTTTGCTTTATAAGTAAATTACTACTGTTTGTGTTTATGTCAAACATATTTTCTGAGATGAGACTAATAAGTTATTGTGACAATTTTGGATATCAATTTAGAAGACAATTTATTTAGGCAGTGGATTTATCCTTTAATAACTGTAGCAACACATTTGATAATCAAAAGACACATAATCTACACTTAGGTAAAAATTTGTTGGAGGCCAAATGCAAAAATTATACAATTTCTACAGTTTTGCAGTTGACTTTTTCCTTCTCTCAGTGAGAAAGAATAGGAAGATATTGAATATAAGTTGATTTGTTTGTGAACAGAGTTAAGTTTTCAGATATTCTTTTGAATAAGATGTGTTGAGGATTATTGATGAACAATATTTCATGTGAAGCTCGTTTTTCTATATCAGCTGAGATATGTTGATTTTTGCATGTAGACACATGTACTAATATATGAATATTTGGACAAATGTGAATGTATGCATGTGTATATGTTTGTGTGTGTGCATTTTAAAATATGTGTAAACATACATTTTGGTGTATGTTGAACACACATCCATATGCATCTCTGTATACACACATAAGCAGATGTTTGCAGCCCCCATGTTTGCAGCCCCCCAAAGTCAAGTGGAAATGCTGTTCGGATAATATAATTTTTGTCAAGTTTATAGGCATTAACTGAACCAAAAGGTTAAGTACTAAGAAAGAAGGTGGAGGAAGATGAGTAGGAAGGACAAAGGAGAGGGTTCTAGATTTTCCTATCAGGCTGGACCTGGGTGAAGCAGTCCGATAATGGTAAGCATTCATCCTTGTCTAAGCATGTGCTCTCTCCTCATCTGAGTTCTGGCCTCTGAGCTCAGGCAGATCCAGGACATGCAGGCACGTGGCTGGCCCTCTGTGGCCAGGAACAGCCGCAAGCTGCTGGGGGACTCCTGGAGCAGACTATCCCCTGGCTCCTGCCCATCCCACTGCTGCCAGCCGGCAGCTTCCCTCCTGCCAGACCCCTGGGCATGCTGATGGGAATGGCACAATTACCTAATCCCTGCCCAGGGAGATCTAGGACACATGCAGACAGATGGAGGACCAGGGGGATTCAGAGCTGTTTAGTATTGGCAGAGAAAAGGATACAAAACTGAGAGCATGGACCAGGCTTGAAGGAGATCCTGAAATCGCCTTTACTCTAAACAGCTCCAATGTAAGCTTTTCCTCA